ATGCTGGCCAGTAGCTGTTGAACTTCTGGGATTTCAGGGTGACACAGACAAATAATACCCTGCTGGGGCAGGGCATGCAAGAACACACATCACGCAAACCGAGAACCACAAAAACATAGAGCTGTCTCGATTCAGGTGGTTAGCCGTGTTGGTCTGAAGCAGCAGAACAAAGTTTGAGTCCAGTGGCACCTTTAAGACCAACAAAGCTTAATTCAAGGTATAAGCTTTCGTGTCCCTGCACACGAAAGCTTATCTCCCTTATATATAAAAGCCGAATGGTGGTGGCACTTCTCTAGAACATTCCACACGCTCCGGAATTGGTTGGCTCCCTGGTGTGTCACTCAGAATCTGTCCCTATCCACTGGCTGCATTGCTTGAGTCTCACCTCCAACATACTAAACAGTTTGCTGTTCCTCTTCCCCCCCCCCATAGCCAGTCAGAACACAGAGGTTATTTGCATATGCAGCCTCATTGGCCTTTGCCTCAGAACACAGAGGTCGTTTGCATATGTGACTTGATTGGCTTTTGCCTCGAACATTCTAAACAGTTTGCTGTTCTGAGGTAAAATGTGTCCAATCTCCAGGCGAGGGCTGGAGATCACTCAGAATTACAACTGCTTTCCAGATGGCAGAGATCAGTTCCCCTGGAGAAAATGGTGGGCTCTGTATCCTTATATACTGCAGAGGTGGCCCCCATATGACAGCCAATGTGACGTGGCAGTCAGGGCTTCAGAGCATGAGAGAGGTTGCAGGTGTGGGGGGGTGGAAAGCTGAAGAGTGAGGGGGAAATTAAGGTAGGTTGATGATTGGCTGGGAAGGAGATAGGGTTGCCAACTCCAGATGGGAAATTCCTGGAGATGTGAGGGATGGAGCCTGGAGAGGTGAGGTTTCAGGAGGCATGGGACCTCGGACAAGTACGAAGCCATAGACTCCCCCCTCCAAACCAACCATTCCCTTCTGGGGAACCATTGTTGCCAATCTCCAGGTGAGGGCTGGAGACCACTCAAAATTACAACTGTTCTTTAGGTAGCAGAGATCAGTTCCTCTGGAGAAAATGGTGGACTGAGTGTCATTATACCCTGCTGCGGTCGCCACAGCAAATTGACACTGAGTGTCCAAGGCCGGGGCACCAGCCCAGAGCCTCTTTCTAGAGGCCCATCGTTGTATTTATTTCCACAATGGGCCTTTTTCCTAGTACCTTGAATAAAACTTTGTTGGTCTTAAAAGTGCCCCTGGACTCATAGAGCTACCTAGCACACAAAGCAGAGGGGAGGAAAGCTGGTACGAGAACAGGGTGTCTGACTCCTGTTCCTGCAACAGGCGACCATGCCCTTGCTATGTTCAGTGCCTCCCTCAGCCCTTGAATTTCAGAGCACAGCCACTGGTGCCTGCCTCCCTTCCCTTGTGCTCACCTTCAGCCAGCAGCAGCAGGTCAGGTCAGGGTGCTGGGCACACATCCCATTGATGACTCCACCCGTTCTCATCTTCCACAGAAGTACTCCCAGAACCCCCAGTCACCCACTTCTGGCTCTGCCCAGCAGAAAACTTTGGCTCTTCTGCTTGAGGTTTGGAACAGCTGAAGTGTGACCTCCCGAACTCACAGCAGCTGTGAAAAGTTCCAGCTGCTCAGTTCAATGAGCCCACAGGCACACACACACACTTGAGAAACTATCACCTACCTCTGGCTGCATAACAGGTTTCTTGCTTTGCAGAATGAGTGGTTTTAAAAAAAAATCAGTAGTAGAAATGGTGTTTCCAATAAGAGGCAGGCCACCCTCCTCCCTCCACGCATCCCACATAATGCCAGTAATAGCAGCTGACAGGCAAACTTGCTCCAGGGCCCCATTTGTGTCCTCTTGCATCCTGGGCGTGGGACTGGGACTGGTAGAATAAAGCAATTTCCTTGCCTGATGCTTAGTGCCAGACCAGCGTCCCAGAAGGTTCCCACCATTTAACCTCTTTAGCCACACTTTTAAAGAACAGATGGATTCAGTTGATTGGTCATGCTGCAGTGGCCACCTGTGGAATTACTCCCAGGCCTGGTTGGCCACATCTTTGAAACTTATTATTCCAACCACTGCCCCCAACAGAAGGGGAGTGAGCAGGGGCAGACTGGGAGGAGAAGAGGGCCCTTCCCCAGTCTGCTCAGGCCCCACCCCCTACCTGCTCTGGCCCTACCCCCAGAGAGGAGGGAGAAGAGTGAGGCCTGGCCAGATGCCTCCTTCCCTGTACCTCACACCTGCCCATCACTGTGGGTCGGGAGGGGGAGCCCCAGGTAGGAGGGACCATCAGCCCACCAGTTTTCCCAGTGGCTTTAACACCAATCCACCCTTGGTTAGTGGCATGTGTGTGTTAAGTCATACTGTTAACAGTTGGTTTGGCCCCGACCGGCAAGCAATGAACTCTTAGGAAGCCACTGGAGTTCTAAATGGATGATAAAGAGGTGTAAGTTTACTCCCACTCTCTTCCAAAATGCACCTAAGGAAGACCGATGGGCTAGTCCAGTGGTGACCAAACTGCGGCTTGGGAGCCGTATGTGGCTCTTTCACACATACTGGCAGGGTGGCTGGTGAAGCGAAGGGGAGGCATGCCTCCCTGATTGGTCTTCCCTTCCCCAGCCAGTGTTCCCTTCCCTGGGTAGGCTTGAGCTGGCAGGAGCAGAGAGAGAAAGCAACTTTAACTTTAAATGTGTTCTCAAAGACACACACGCACACACCCTGCCGGCCGACTTGGAGAAGGCATTTGTCTCTATAAACCCCTTCTCCAAGCCAATCCAGCTGGCGTGGGGGCGTGGGAGTCTTGAAAGACACATTTGAAGTTAAGGTTGCTTTCTTTCCACCTCTCACTCCCTTCCAACTATTTGCTTTCTTTCCACTTTCTTTCTTTCCACCTTTCTTTTTCTTTCTTTCTCTCTCTCTCTCTCTCTTTCTCCCCTCCCTCCCCATCTAATCATTATCAATATCTATTTTTACCCCTTTTGTTTTTATTTTTGGCAGTCTCATTTAATGTCAAGAAAAAGCAAATTTGCATATTTTTCTATTAAACCATGTGGGTTATATTTGTTCACGTCTTGTGGCTCTCAAACATCTGGTGTTCATTCTATGTGGCTCTTACGTCAAGCAAGTTTGGCCCACCCCTGGGCTAGTCCATTCCCCTAGCTGTGGTACTTTCCTCCGGCGCCAGGAGCCAACACTTGAATCAGGAGCCTCACTGCTTGTGGAACAGATCCTCAAGCTCCAGCCCCATGTGGGAGTGATGACGCAGCTCTTCGCGAAGCGGGCTGGTCTCGAAGGTGAGGATGTCCGTCCTACTATCCTTCTTGCGGAATGGATGTCGGGCATGGCCAGGAGTGACAAACCTGTACTGAGTGACCCTGAGAACAAATTCTGCTTGGGAAGACACAGGATCTTGAAAGCTCCCCGGGTGCCCCAACCTGGATAGTCCTTGGATGGGAGACCGCCTTGAGATACGAGAGGCAGGGGCAGGCTTTATTCAGCCGCCTCTCTGAATATCCTCCAGCACCCCAGGAGGGGTCAGTCACCAGAGATCGCCAGCCATGACTCCCAGGTGTGCGTGCGCACACACACACACACATTAAAAAAAAAAAAAAAGCTCCTCGGGTGTCCAAGTAGCATAGGAATCCTGAACTTGGAAGTCCATCTCTTACTTCACGCATTCGGCGCTTGTCAAAAACTGACATCCCTGGAAGCCTAAATCGACCTGCTCTACAGAACCCTCTACCTCAAGAGGATTTCAAAATGATGGACGGGATGTGAAGGTAGCCTGTGCATGTGCTAGGATACTCCCCTTACCCCCTTAAGCATTAGTCCCTTACTGGACAGAGGCAGAAAATAATGATTTGTGTCAGCGTCCTCAAGAGTCTTGTAGTTTCAGGGAGGGAAAAAGAAGAAGCAGTAATCACCTATTGCGACATTAATGATAATACTTAGTATTTATATAGCGCTTTCCCAAAGTGTTCAAAGCGCTTCACAATACAGTATTTCAGCTATCCTTACAACAACCCTGTAAGGTAGGCCAGTACTTACCCCCATATCACAAATGAGGGACCCCCGGAGGCTGAGGAGTCAGTGGCTCACCAAAGGCCGACCAGCGAATTCATGGCTGTGCCAAGATTTAAACTGGGGGGGGGCTTGGGCTCATAGCTCACATACTGTGCCAGAGCACGAACTCATGGGAGTTATAGAAAAATGCTCCAAGGAGCAATCTTAGCATCAGTCGGGTTCTCTTGGCACTTCCAGGAATGGTTGGCTTCCCTGCCACCCTTGTGACCCCCGAACCCCTCCCTCCCACGTGGCACCCTCTGCCAAGGGCACCGTGACCAGACTGCCAAGACAACTCACCAGTAAACAAAGGACTTTGTCTTAGCAGCACTTCCCTCCCTAAAATAAATCAGCAACAAATATTACATTTACGCCCCCCCCCCCACACATACACGCGGCGTGGGAGGTCTGAAAAGACAGACAACAGAACACCTGAGACGTTATTGCTAAATACGGAGTCGGCTGGGCTGGCCCGCAGCCCGGTAGACCTCCGGTACAGGCAGGGGAGAACAGAACAGACTTGAAGGCGGGGTACTTCTTCAGAATGACCCTTCTGCACACACCTGGCCCGAATCACTCCATGCCTGCTCATGCAAGGCAGGGTCTCTGTCACCTGGTCAGGTTCCAAACTGGGTGTTTCAGGAACCCTGGCATGCCTCTGATGTTTGAGTGGAAGAGCCTGCCAGAAAAGACAGCTCAGTTGCCGCTACTGGTCTTCCCCGGCAGACACGGGGGAGCACTGGGATGCGTTTCTGGGTGTCTTCCCAGTTCGTACGAGACAATCACCATGCCCCATGACCAACACGCAGCGTTAACTGCCTGCCTGCCTTGGCACATGCTGTGTGACTCTTCTGCACTGCACAGGAAATGCAGAAGGGACTATTGGGGGGGGGGTTGTAAGCCAATAAGAGAGTTCCCTAAAGGTAGAGGGGGGGGGGGGAATCACTGGATCCCACCCAGCAGCCCTCCAGCACCCCAGAGCCCGAGCCCTGCCCCCCAGCCTGGGTTGGGTTGTCCCACAAAGGGCTGATCCCAAGATGACGGACAAGGATGCGAGGAGGTGTCTGCTGTCCGCTGGAGGGCCCGTGACCATAAACGGACACACAAAACTGACTTACTGAGTCAGTCAACAGGTCCTTATAGTCTGAGATTGTCTACCCTGACTGGCAGCAGCTCTCCAAGGTCTCGGGCAAAGATACATCTTCCCCACACCAGCAACCTGAGATCCTTTGAGAGGAAGGGCCAGAATTGAAGCTGGGGCCTTCTAAGTGCAAACTACGCGCTCTACCAATGGACCATGCCCCCCCCCCTTTCAGTCAGGCCTTAAGACCATTTGTTCAGATGCCTTAGTTCTCCACAGCACTGCTTACGGGTATTGGCTTGTGAACGCAGTCTTTTTTCTTCCCCGGCTGGGGCTCTCGTGTGCAGATATCACCCACTCTTCCGTGCCATATCTCTCACTCAGCCAGCAGACTCATTTTGCGGTGGAAGTTCCCTGCACTTGCGCTCTAATCCATCCAGCGCAGCAGCAATTTTAGGAGCCTCCCTCAAAAGCCGGCTGTTGGTGATTGCCCAAGGACCCTCCAGTAGGGGTGCAGCGGACAAGTGGATCCTGCAGGTGGGAGGATTCTCCCAGCTCTTGACACCACTCAGAATGCTGTCCAGCTCACAGAAACCGGGCCTCACTGCCTGTCTCGCTCGCTTTCTTTCTCCCGTATCGCCTTCATCTAGAAGCGCCGCTGCATTGGCACCTTCCTGGAATAAAATGTCTGACATCGATCAGTTTGCATCCTCCCTGCATCCTCGGTTTTTGGAACCTAGTGCCGAGCTGCACAGCCCTTGAGGATGACTGGACCAGACCCACGAAAAGTGCTGTGGACAGGCAGTTGTAACGTCTGCTTGGGAGAAGGTTTCGATCCAGAGTGCTTCGGGGAGCTCATGGTGCAGCAGGTCCCGGCGCACGAGAGCTCAGGCCCGCCTGGCAGCTCCCGGGACCCCCACATCAAACGTTTCTGAAACAATGGTAATTTTGCGAGCACGTAACAGTCATTTCTTAGTCTTGCACCAAGTGGGGAATGGGAATCCTGTTAGTGCAAGAAAATTGTTCCCGATGGAAGTGACTTCATTCTGCCGGGCAGGGAGGAGAAGGGACAGGTCCCAGCTGGCGCCTCCGTCCTCGGCAAAAACGCGCCTCGTGCATTTGACATTTTGCACCCAAAGATCCAGGATTTGTGTTTTTTTCTGTTGATAAATCAGGTGGTGAGAAGAGACGGCAGTCTGGACAGGAAGGGCCCCTGGAAGAGAATGCAGCTACCGCTCTGGAACGGGAGTCACGTAGGCCTGGGCCCCAGGAAGATACTGCTGTTCTGGAACACCTGTGGGCACCTGAAAAGAAGCGCTGAACATTCCGCTCCAGAACGCAAGCTGCTCCCACGTCTTCAGTAGCGGAAAAGGCCTTGAAGGACCTAACTAGGGGCCACCATCCCTGCATAGCCTAGCTCTTGGCAACAATTGCAAGCGCCATTGCGGTCTGGAAGAAGTTGCTGCAGAGTCGGCATGACAGGCTAAACGGCAGGGACTCAGACTTCCAAGTCTGACAGCTGGAAACGGAGAGCTTTGGTCCAGGAGTGATGCGGACGAGGACGACATCCACTCGCCCTGTGCTCTCTGCAGCCAGGTCAGCTAGTGGGGCTGGGCAAGAATCTGAGCCCCAAGGCCCTCTTTCCTCCATCACCACCCCTCACGGAACCACAGTCACCTGGGAAGAGAGAAGGCTCCGAGTTAGCAGGATCCAGACTAATCCCAAGGGGAAAACTGGCTTCCCAACACATTTCTCTCCGGTCCAGGAATCCTTCATTTCAATGCAGCCTAAAAGGCAGGCTCCCCTATCTCTTTTTCTTTAAAAAAAAGGGGGGGGATGATGGATTCAATAGCTTATCGATGACGTTTGGGGGATTCCTTAGCCCTCAATATTTTAAGAGTCTTGTCCCACCCTGTTCCATGAAAGGACAATACATTCAGAAGCAGAATTCCCCCTCACAGGTTAAGTACGTTCCTATAGGAACATGCATGATTTCTTCCACTAGTGGACTTTAGCACATTCTAATTTAAAAGGGGTCCTGATCTGGATGGCCCATGCTAGCCTGATCTTGTCAGTTCCGAAGAAGAAGAAGGAGGAGGAGGAGAAGGAGGAGGAGGAGGAGGAGGAGGAGGAGGAGAAGAGAGAAGGAGAAGGAGGAGAAGAGAGAAGGAGAAGGAGAAGAGAGAAGAAGAAGAAGGAGAAGAAGAAGAAGGAGAAGAAGAAGAGAGAAGAAGAAGAGAGAAGAGATTGGATTGATACCCCGCCCTTCACTCTGAGTCTCAGAGCAGCTTACAAACTCCTTTCTCTTCCTCTCCCCACAACGGACACCCTGGGAGGTAGGTGGGGCTGAGAGAGCTCTGAGAGAACTGCTCCTGAGAGAACTGCTCTGACAGAACTATGGCTTGCCCAAGGTCATCCAGCAGCTGCAAGTGGAGGAGTGGGGAATCAAACCCGGTTCTCCCAGATCAGAGTCCGTGCACTTAACCACTACACCAAACTGGCTCTCCTACACCAAACTGGCTCCCTTGTCAGTATTTTGGAGTCCACCAAGGAATACCAGGGTCACAATGCAGAGGCAGGCAGTAGCAAACCACCTCTGAACGTCTCTTGCCTTGAAAACCCCACACAGTCACCATAACTCAGGTGCAATTTGATGACCAAAAAAAAAAAATCTAAAAGGGACTCTCCTCAAACCATGCCTTGCCCCCTACTAATACCAATTCCAGGTGATTACATAGGGAAAAGGGAAGGGTCGTGGTTCAGTCGCAGAACACAGACTTCTGTATAGGAGATGCTGGGCGAAGCACTGGCACCTCTAGTTAAAGAATCTCAGGCAGCAGTTCTTGGGAAAGGCCCGTCTCTGCCTGAGACCCCAGAGAGCTGCTGCCAGTCGGAAGAAGACAACACTGAGCTAGTTAGCTTAAAGCGGGCTCACGGGACCAGGCAGGTCACCGATGCAACGCAGTAACGATGCAGGCTTCTTGGCCGGCGTTGCCTCCCTCTGAAACAAACACAGGCATCTCAGTCAATGTTCCCTCTGATCTTTTCCCCCCTACTGAGCGGAGCAGTTCACATTCTGAGCAGAACGTAAATGCTGTAATCTGAAAATGGGCAACAGGCAGCGCAAGACCCTGTGCGGCTCCAGACTGCTGCTGAGCGGGGCTTCCTGGGTTAATGAGCGGCCCCACAGCTTAGAGGGAACACTGTCGTGGAATCAGGGCCAGTTTGAGCCTCAGTCCTCTGTTAAACCTCTGGTACAACTGTGGTACTTTAATTTCTATAGGAATTAGCCTCTATAGTTGAATCGGTGGTTCTGTTTCCCAGGAGGCCTCAGGACTCTGTTAAGTGCTGTGGCCTTCTGGAACCGATAACCCTGTACATGACTTTGCCTCGCATGACTTTTGCCTTCTGGGAATGTTTATACTCTGCAGAAGTCAGGAGTCACTATTGAATTCTAAATAGATAGAGTATCTGAAGCCAGCTTCCTGGGACTCTCTTAGTCAACCTTGACTCTCTGAGTCACCCTGACTTTACTGACCCAACAGAAAGAAAGGGCTGAGCTTTTCCGTGTACGTCACAAATATATGTCAAATGCTTGTCACAGACTTGACTGACAGTTGCATCGGCCCTATGGTTAGGAAAGGGTATTTAATGTTTGGATTTAGTTTTGTTCCTTGTTCTGGCCAACAGCCCTTCCGTTATGGGTCTTGGCGGAGCAACCAAGAATATCCTTTATAGAACTTTAAGTGCACTATTTATGTACTGGGGTTGTGTTGAAATATTCTGTGTTGAACACTGAAATGCTACAGAACTGTTTTCTGACTTAAGAGTGTGTAATGGAATAAACTGAGCTTTGGTTTAGAATCTCTCTGTCTCTGCCATTGGGAAGCCAGCTTCTCTCCCTCCCCAAAATGAACACAGTGGGAATGGGAGTGCACGAAAAGGTTCCTGCACCCCTCATTTCCCAAACAACACTGAGTCAGTATCTGTACAAAAAGTGCCACAGGCTCCCCTGTTCTCAGGCACTGAGAACAGGTTCTCTCAGCCGACAGTCTACCCATTTCGGAGTCACCCTACCTGCGGGGCACGCGGGAGAGATAGTCCCGGTTCAAAGAGCAGAGCTGCTGTTCCAAGCGGAAGATGCGGAATGCCAGGTAGGAGGAGGACACCACCAGGAGGCAGATCCTGAAAGGCAGAAAGATACTGTTTAGATATAAGCCAAGCAGGAAGTTAAAAAAACAACAACACACACATACACACACACACAACCTGGTGGGGACAGGAGGGAGGAGAATAATTTTCCAGCATCAGACTAGGAAATCCAGTAATGGCGGAAAAACAGACGCCTTCCACTGACCATAGCAGCCTCTCCTGTGTCAATGGAGCCCAGCCAGTTTAGTATTATGTTTGTGGTCTTAAGTGCAGGTGTTGACTGACACCTTGGGTCAGTTTCCTCCTAGCGTTAACCTTGGAAACAGAGAACGAGGGCAGGAAGGGGAACTGTACTTAAGAACATAAGAAGAGCTCAGCTGGATTGGGCCAGCGGTCCATCTAGCCCAGCCTCCTGTCTCACACAGTGGCCAACCAGTTCCTCTGGATGGCCAACAACAGGGCACAGAGGCCGAGGCCTTCCCCTGAGGTTGCCTCCTGGCTCTTGGACTCAGACATTTAGTTCCTCCGAAAGTGGAGGTTCTCCTCAGTCACCAAGTCTAGTAGCCACTGACAGACCCATCTGCCATAAATCTGTCTAATCCCCTTTTAAAGCTGTCTGTTCCTGTGTCCATCCCTACATCACCTGGCAGCAAATTCCACATTTTAATCGTGCTCTGTGTCAAGAAGCACTTTCTTTTATTTGTCCTGAATCTACTGTACATCAGCTCCATTTGATGCCCTTGTCATTATTTAGTACTTTTTCCTCCCCTGGAACTCCCCACGACATACGCAGGGGGCTCCTGAGCTGCCTCATTATCCTCCTTTGCATCTGGTCATGACAGGGTGAGATCTATTGCTGCTTGCCCAAGATGGAATTTTCTATTAAAAGGATCCGCAAACCAACGAAAGCTTCGCTCCCAGGAAAGCTGCTGCATCGTAGCTCACAGCTGCGGCAGGAGGAGAGAGTGTGAGGCAGGCCTAAGAGCACAGGACAGAGAGGGATGCTGCCGGCATGGCTCCATCCCCAAAAGTGCAGCACACGGTGAATTCACTGCGTTCCGCCAAATCTCTGGGAAAGGATCGCAGCCACCCACACCAGGCATGCACAGAAAGGAATGAAACGGCTGGAGATTTCTGCACCTGCTCCTGTGCAATGAAGGGGAAGAAATAACGTTTCTGTCTCAATGCTCTTGTCTCCCACGCTCCGCATCCAAGCTCCATCCCGAACCTCAAAACCGTCTCTCACTGGCAGTAGCCAAGTCAGTGGGCACGGACCCCGGCACCTCCGCCTTAAGAACGACATGCCCCTGTATACTGGAGATGGGTCCACAAGATGATGCAAGAGATATTGAGAACTAAAGTACCATTTTTGCCTGAAATATTATTACTAAACATATTTCCAAAGGAGTTTGATAAAGGTGATAGATATTTGATGGTACACCTATCTACTGCAGCAAGAATGTTATATGCAAAATATTGGAAACAAATGGAAACACCAAAGAAGCAAGAATATGTGAATAAACGGGAGACGGCTGAAAATGACAAATTGTCATCGTTGATGAGAGGGACAACAGACCCAACATATCAAAAGACGTGGAAAAAACTGTATGATTGGTACAATATAAATGCATAGCTTAAAGTAATGAAATTTTTGGTATTATTAATCTTTTTTAGTTAAATAGAAACTATGGTAAAAAGATAAGAGTATACAGAAACTTAAGCAAACTTATAGAAATTCTTTAAATATAGTAATAGAGTTATAAGATAATATACTGATCTCTTTGTATGTTTTATGTGTGTAAGTGGATGTATGTTATGTAGTATGTTTGTTTGTTGGTGTATAATATGAAAAATAATAAAAGTGTACCTTATGGGTACTTAAAAAAAAAAGAACGACATGCTCTGGTTTTGTTTTCTAGCCACAACGTAGGGAAAAAAATTGTTGCTGGGCACCGCCAAGTTTGGCCCCCGAGATGGCCAATTTGCCATGCCTGCCTACCCAGCTGGACTCCTGACTTACAACACAATGAAGACTTTCAGCAACTGGTAGTCGGAAGGCCTCAACTCGGCTTTGCAGCTTTGCTCCGCCTCCAGCTCCTCCTCTTCAGTGTTTATTGCACTCTCTGGAACAAAAACAGAGGCGGAAAGATTGATGCACCACGGGCACAGAGCACTGGCGGGAGGATCAATGAAATTAGAAAGAGAGGAATGTTCTGTACTCTGGAAAGTTTGTTTCTTGGCAAAGGGCATATTCACATTTCAGCTAGGCACGGAGCCTTGGGGACCATAGGCTATAAAGCTTCCTCAGTCATTGATTGGTTAAAACATGCACTTCCCATGAGCAAGTTGACTAGTATAGTAAGAGAGAGAGAAGGAGAAAAGGAGAGACGGGCCTGTGGCTCAGTGGAAGAGCCTCTGCTTTGCAGGCAGGAGGTCCCAGGTTCAATTCTTGGCACCTCCAGCTAAAAAAGACCTGGCAGTAGGGGGTATGAAAGACCTCTGCCCTGAGACCTTGGACAGCAGCTTCCAGTCTGAATAGACACCACTCTGAGGGACTGATGGTCTGATGCAGTATAAGGCAGCTTCTACAAAAAAAGCCCAGCAGGAACTCATTAGCATAATAAGCCATACCCAACAGCAGAAACTCATTAGCATATTAGGCCACACCCCCTTATAGTACAGCTAATTAGCATATTACGCCCCACCCCCATGTTACCAGAAGTGTGGTCATCCAGCCACGCCCACCTTTTGCTTCTTATCCTGTTTACCTTGTTTGTTGTCAAAACCCAGGGCTTTTTTTGTAGCAGGAACTCCTTTGCATGTTAGGCCACACACCCCTAATGCAGCCAATTCTAATGAGTTTCTGCTGTTGGGTGTGGCCTGTTATGCTAATGAGCTCCTGCTGGGCGTGGCCAACTCAGGAGCCAGCTGGAACTCCGTTCCTGTGCGTTCCTGCCCAAAAATAGCCCTGGGCAGCTTCAAAAGGAAGGAGCATTATGGCATGACAAGCTCTGGGAACAGTTTGTCATGGCCAAAATAGCAGATTTAAGCCAAAGGTCTCTGCCGTCAAATATCACACCACACGTGAAGTTCTCAAGGCTATGGGCACCAGTTATAAAATATATGACAGAGCACGAAATACTTCCCTCAAACCCCAGTTATCACAGGTGGTTGTTCCTGTAAAATGCCACAAACCCCAATCCTCAAATTAGTGTATCAGAAACGTTCGGTCTCTATCACACTAAACCTCAACATGGCGCACTAAGGCTCATGAGGTCCACCAAAGTAACCACAGAGTAATGTACTAACATAGAGTTAACAGAGCAAGAATAGTTAATAGTCGGGACTGTCATGTTATATTTATAAATTGTACGCTTCCAATGTTTCCAATTATTTTCTTGCTGTAATCTATATCTCCCTGTTATGTGTTATCGAGCTATGTGCATTGTAAAACAGTATAAAAATATATATTTTTTTTTTTTAAAGGAAGGAGCATTAAACCAGATTGCATCATTTCAGGCCAGAACTCATTTATCACTTTTTTTTGTCCCCTGCCCTTCCCCCAAGGATATCTGGGTAGCGTATAAGAGCCAGTTTGGTGTAGTGGTTAGGAGCATGGAGTCTAATCTGGGAGAACCGGGTTTGATTCCCCACTCTTCCACATGCAGCTGCTGGTGTGACCTTGGGTCAGTCACAACCTCTCTTAGAGCTGTTCTCTCAAGAGCAGTCCTCAAAAGAGCTCTCTCAGTCCCACCTCCCTCGCAGCGTATCTGTTGTGGGGAGGGGAAGGGAAAGGAGATTGTAAGCTGCTCTGAGACTCCAAGTGAAGGATGGGGTACAAATGCAATCTCATCTTCTTCTTCCTCTTCCTCTTCTTCTCTCCTCCATTTGGTCATCACAACAGTCTTGCAAGGCAGGCTGCACTGAGTGACAGTGACTGGCCCAAAGGCACCCAAGTGAGTTTCACGGCTGACTCAGGGCTTGACAATGAGTCCCTCCGTGGTCCCTGTCCAAACCTCTTTAACCAAGCGGGCTCTCTTATTATTTGCACGGCACTGGAATGTCACACACAATCAAAATGGATCTGTTGACATTTCAACATTTCCTTGTTGGGACACACCCTTCTTGTAACGAACAGTTAATACTTCCTCGGGGTGTTCTATTACATCGATACATACAAAAACGTAAATATCAACCGAAAGAAAAAAAGATCATAGCCCTTGTTTGACTTGGCTTCTGGAAGGGGGCACTCCCCAGACCCAGAGTGGAAAAACTCGATCCCGCTGCTGGAACTCAGCAACCAGACTTCTGCCACATTCAAGCTGGCTCCATTTTAATCTGCGCCACTCCTGCTTAGCCAGCCCCATGGCGCAAGCAAAGCGCCTCTGATTAATCAGAGCCACAAGCTGTTCCTCTGTGCTCCTGCCACAGCAAGCAGGAGCTGTGGCTGGCCCCCCCGGTAGCCCCCATGTGGCTCAGTCACACTCAGCCAATGCTCCCTCTAAGTTTTACAGCCCTGTGAGCAAAAATTCTACTGTGTGAGCTACTGGCATTAAAGTTGTGAGCGAGCAATTTGGCTACTGCATAGATTAGTTTGCTCTGAGCAAAGACAAAATTCTGTGAGCTGGAGGCTAAAAAACAGCGAGGCAGCTCACACTAACTTAGCTTAGAGGGAACACTGCCTACCTTACAGGACTGATGTGAGGAGAAAGGAGTGGGTGGGGGAAGAGAGCCATTACACTGCCCTGAGCTCTCTGGAGAAAAGGCAAGATGGGAAAAAGAACTGCGACAGCTTGCCAGATTGACAGTGAAGAATTGCACAGACTCAAGAAGCCCATGTAAAACTGGCCAGTGGATTTATGCTGGAGAGGACAGCCTCCAAGAAAGAGTGACATCTCTCCCCAGGGGCAGGCGGCTGCTTAGCTGGCTGTAAAAAGCACAAAAACTTTGGAATATATGGCTGGATATTTTGACCTCGGTGTCAACTAGAATCCAGTTTTGGCCAATCAGGCAGGAAAACTGTTTATGCTGGCAGCTCCTCTCCTGGAAACAAAGATCCGTAAAGACTTTCTGCAAAGAAAATGCTGTTTGTCATACTGGAGGTGCACCGACTATAGTAGTGAGTGCCAAATTTTACAAAAAAACCAACCCTGCTCCACTGTAGTTATCCCCCTTCCATTTTGTTACACCGAGTGCTTGTGCCAACAGATCAAAATGAATCCATCTGCAGCGGACGGATCGTTCCTCCCTCCGGTCTTCAGCTCGGTGCGAAACTGTCTCTGCCCGTAAAGTCCGAACAGAGATTATGACCATCTGTGCACATCAGATGCAAGGATGTTGTCGGGAGGTTATGTGATGCGCCAGTCAGAATTATGGAGACTGGCTGGCTTGACGGGAACTGGGCGGATGTCCCTGGTAGGGCCAAACAATCTGCACAGTTGTCGGCACAGCTGTTCAGCAGCCGGAAGGAAAGCTGCACAGCCTGAAAACGCGGTCGAGCTATGCACGTGGGCACCACAGAGCAGCTCCCAGCCAAGGGCTCTCATCATCCTGGTCCCGCACATACATGTTAATACACATAATGCTGCCTTATACGGAATCAAGGGCCAGGGGCGTAGCCAGAACAAACTTTTTGGGCCTCCCCCCCCCTTTTAAAAAAAAAAAAAAAATTTCCCCCCCCCCCCCCCCCCCGGACATCTACCCTCAAGAGGTGGACAAAAAGATGCAGTTTGTGGATCTGCACCTGGATTGTTTCAGCCCACCTGGATTGCTGCAGAGCCCCTGAGGGGGGCGATATTGCCCACTTTGGGAACCAGTGGCTATGCCTTTTGATTGGAGAGACTTGATTCTGGGCTGCTTTTCTGTGTAAGTCAAGGGGGGGATGGATCTCCAACTCTCTCTCTCTCTCTCTCGCATTTTTATTTTATTTTTTGAAATTTTATTTTATCTCATTTGCATTTTTAAAAACCTGTTTATTTTTCGGCCTGGAAAAGAGAAAATGAGGCTGACGCTTCCCTGACTGTGCCCAGGGTCATTTTGGAAACCCAACGCGCATCTTACATTTTTAAAATATATTTTTAGATTTTTAAAAAAAATTATCCTGGGGGGGCTGCGCTCATCCGGGGGGGGGGGCACTGCCTCCATATGCCCCCTGTGGCTACAGGCCTCCCAAGGGCAGTATTGTCTTCTCAGACTGGCAGTGACTGTCCAGGATTTCAGGCAGAGGTCTTTCACATCACCTGCTACCTGGTTCTTTTTAACCAGAGATACCAGGGATTGGACCTGGGACCTTCTGCATGCCAAGCAGGTGCTCTGCCACCGAGCCACAGCCCCTCTCTTGCTTCCTGCTGCCCCATACCTGATATCAGAGGCTCCTCTGAGTTGCACGAACTCTCCTTAGTGCTGAGGCTGCTGATGGAAGCCCGGTGGATGCACTGGAAGCCTGCATCTGGGAGGGCCAGCGACAGTGAGGCTGGGGACCCCTTCCTCCACTTCACTTCAGGGACGATCACCTCCTGTAGAAAGCACAGGAAGCGACGAGACCTTGACCAGACCATCAACTCGCAGGCAGAATGTAATGGCAGGATATTCACTAACAAAGCCTGCAGGGTATCCAGTCTCATAGCTATCCCCTCCCACCACAACACTCTCTCTGGTCCTGGGACAAGAGGAAGACCAGTCGCTTCAAACAGTTAGCGCATGAGTCCCCAACACGGTGCCCGCAGACGCCATGGTGCCTATCAACATCTTCCTTGGCGTCCACCGAGTGTTTTCAGAAAGTGGGTGGAGCTAGATGGGGATTCTTCCAGTAGGGCTTCTGATTGCTTTAGCAGAAGCTGTCCCTGCTGCGCATGGATCTTCACTGTGACTGAAGAAAACATTTTAGCACGACACGTTCATTTTTTAAATGGCATCTCGTTCATCACATCTTCTATCTAAAATGCTGCAGAGTTACTATTAGACTTAGGCATAGCCTCACTCCTCTCTGACATTTTCTGGTCCGCTCCTCTTCCTGTGGCAGCCATCTTGTGACAGGCTCCGCCTCCGGTGGCAGCCATCTTGTGGTTGGGCCCACCACCCTGTGTCAGAATGCCAAAGGGGGTCACAGGCTGGAAAACGTTGGGGGACCCTGAGTTATGTGAGCAGAATGCTCTCTTGACCACCATTAAAAGATACTTTTTTTTGTATTTTTGTATTTTTATGTGCGTGTGTGTGTGTATGCGCGTGTGTGCACCTGGAAGTCATGGTGACCTCTGGTGACTGACCCCTACTGGGGGTCTGGAGAATATTCAGAGAGGTGGCTGAATACAGCCTGCCCCCACCTCCCGACTGCTGGTATTCCCAGGAGGTCTCCCATCCAAGGACTTGCCAGGGCTGACACTGCTTACTTTCTGAGATCTGATGAAATCGGGCTTGCCTGGGCTACCCAGGACAGGGCAAACACGATTTAAAGATTTGATTGGGCCATGGCTTCTCATGTTTCCTGCCTCTCTGCTTCCTTCCCAGCCTTAAAACCATGGGTTTTTCAATACAGCTGTACTGACACAAACCATGGTTAACACAAAACCAGGTTCCCTTGCATGCCCGCATCAAACCAGGTTCCTCAGTCTGATGAGAAAATGTTACTTTGCATTAGCCAAGGATTGTTTTGGTGCACACATAATATGAAAACGTGGTTAACACTGGGAGGGAAGGGAGAGTCCTCCAGAGAGGGTAGGAAATACAGGGAGTCTGCAGCCTGTTCCTAGTGATCTTAACCATGGTTAAGAACATAAGAACATAAGAGACGCCAATGTTGGATCAGGCCAAAGGCCCATCCAGTCCAACACTCTGTGTCACACAGTGGCCAGAAATACCAGTGCCATCAGGAGGTCCAGCAGTGGGGCCAGGACATTAGAAGCCCTCCCACTGTTGACCCCCCCCCCCCAAGCACCAAGAAGACAGAGCATCACTTGCCCCAGAGCCCCTAGCTATACCTTGTGGCTAATAGCCACTGATGGACCTCTGCTCCATATGCTTATCTAATTCCCTTTTGAAGCCGTCCATGCTTGTAGCACCCACCACTTCCTGTGGCAGTGAATTCCATGTGTTAATCACTCTTTGGGTGAAGAAGTACTTCCTTTTATCCGTTCTAACCCGACCGCTCTGCAGTTTCATGGAGTGCCCACGAGTTCTTGTATTGTGAGAAAGGGAGAAAAGTACCTCTTTCTTTACCTGCTCTTTCCCATGCATAATCTTATAAACCTCGATCATGTCACCCCTCAGTCGTCTTTTCTCCAAGCTAAAGAGCCCTAAGCGCTTTAACCTTTCCTCATAGGGAAAGTGTTCCAACCCTTTTATCATTCGAGTTGCCCTTTTCTGCACTTTTTCCAAAGCTATAATATCCTTTTTAAGGTGTGGTGACCAGAACTGCACACAGTATTCCAAATGAGGTCTCACCATTGATTTATATAGGGGCATTATTATATTGGCTGATCTGTTTTCAATACCCTTCCTAATAATCCCCAGCATAGCATTGGCCTTCTTTATTGCAGTCACACACTGTCTCGACATTTTCAGTGAGTTATCCACTACAACTCCAAGATCTCTCTCTTGCTCAGTCTCTGCCAGTTCAGACCCCATCAATGTGTATTTATATTTAGGATTTTTGGCTCCAATGTGCATCACCTTGCACTTGGCCACATTGAACCCCATTTGCCATGTTGACGCCCACTCGCCCATCCTTGACAGATCCCCTTGGAGTGCCTCACAATCCTCACTGGTTTTCACCACCCTGAACAACTTTGGTTAAGAGATCAGCAGTGTTCGGAGATGGAGGAAGAGCTAGGAGGACTTGATCACCATTCCAAATATTTAACACTGTTGTAGAAAAGGGCAGATTCTAGCTTTTTGCCACTTGAGACGAGAGGCAGAGGCCCAAAGCTGTTAGAAGAAAGACTGGCTCCCCCTTACAGCAGAAGCTCTCACACACAGAGAGAAATCCTGAAGGCCACCCTGTTTGGAAAATATATCTCATCCCTCTCAGAAATAGGTAGGCAACATACAGATAGGGTTGCCAGGTCCTGACCTTTTGCCGGTGTGGGGCTTCTGGCTCCTCGGTGGGTTCTTCCTGCGCCGTAATGACATCACCCGGAAGGGATGTCATCGCACTAGGCATGTTGCGGTGGGACGCTCTAGCATTCAGCCAAAAACTCTATGGTCTACACTGTAGCCAGCTGGCCAGCAGGTGGATTGGGGGCCTGAAATCGGGGGAACCCCTTCCCTCATTGGGGGGATGGCAACTCTACACAGATTATCAGGATGAAGTTAACCCTCCTCCAAGGAGTCTTCCTCCAACTAAAACAGGTCTTCCTCCAGCAGAAGAGCCACTGAAGCTGGAAGACGGTGTCAACCTTTGCTTAGTGGAGTGGGAGGATAGGGGTAGAGGATCCATCCCATTGCTGGTGGCAGTGCAGAGTGGGGCAGTTTGATCTTCACACGGGGGCATCTGGGTCTTACCAGCGACACTGCATCCGGCTCTTCCGTCAGCTCTTTCAAGCTCAAACTCTTCTTGCTCGAGACCTGCCAAGTACAAGGAGACACGACTGACTCATCCTGCAGATTACTGCAGGGGGGGGGCTCAAACGGCGGAAGTGCCTGCAAGCCAAAGGCTCCTCCCCCATCACGGATCTTAGCTGTGCTGCAAACGCTTTCAGAGCATCCCTGTGTCATTCACAGTGGATGCCTATTTAGTGTCCCACGTCCGCATAATTCTTGGTTCCTTTCCTCTGATCCTGTCTTCCCACAAGGCCTCGACACCCCGTGCAGTACGGCCCCAGGGCTTGCTAGGAGGGCAACCCAAGGGGGGAGGGGGAGGAGGAGGATATTAGATTCACTACCCAAGGGAGTCTCAGAGTGGCTTACAAACTCCTTTCCCTTCCCCTCCCCACAACAGACACCCTGTGAGGTTGGTGGGGCTGAGAGAGCTCTGACAGAAACTGCTCTTTCTCGAGGACAGCTCTTATCAGAACTACGGCTTGCCCAAGGTCATCCGGCCAGGTGCAAGTGGAGGAGTGGGGAATCAAGCCCGGTTCTCCCAGATTAGAGTCCGCGCACTTAACCACGACACCAAACTGGTGACCGTCTCACACTGGGTCATCCATAGGGTTACCAGCCTCCAGGTGGGGCCTGGAGATCCCCGCTTTTAACAATTGATCTCCAGGCTACAGAGGTCAGTTCCCCTGGAGAAAATGGCTGCCTTGGAGGGAGCCAATAATAATGTCTATGGCATTATTATTGGGTTCAATGTAAAGAAAATAATAATAATTTTACTTGGAGGCACAGAAGCTTGAGGCAGTGTCCCTGAACCTCTGCCTCTCCCTGTTAAAGGGAAAATGCTTTTCAAACAAATTACAAAGATGATCTGACTCCAATGGTAACAAGAGAAAGAAATTTTACTTACAGAAATAGGAGCACATCTTACATGACATATCTACATTTAACTTATTGTGAACAGATTAACTCCAAGCCCAGGTAAGAGAGGAGAAGAAGAAGAAGAGAGGTCCTATATAAGATGAGAAACAGAAGGCAAGCAATGGCCAAAGAGGCTCAACATCTAACCCATGGGAGGGTGGGGCCAACTATCAAGTGCACCCGAGTAAGGGAGAATTCTTTTAACCCTTTCCCTCCCAGATCCTCTTGCGTGCAATTACAATATCCAGCAGTTATACCCCCCCCACTGAGGCCCCCTCCCCTCCTCAAACCCTGCCCTCCCTAAACTTCAGGAAATTCCTAGCCCAGAACTGGCAAACCCTACCTGGAGAAAATGGCTGCTTTGGAGGCTGTACTTTATGGCACTGTGCCCTGCTGAGGCCCCAGCCCTCCCAGCCCCCCCCCCCCCACCAAATTGCCAGGTATTTCCCACCCCCAAAGCATCCGTGGTTTTATCGCAGAATTCGTCACGCGAAACCTATTCGCTTCTAATTTCTGGCCGGTGTGCAGAAAGAAAGCCATTTCCACAGAAAATAAATTGAAAAACGCTAACGACACTTCCCTGTTGCCCCTCAGCTGTAGGCCAAGGCTATGCTCTGCTATATGCTTATATAGGGAAAAGGTGATTTTCCAGGAGGAGACGGGGCCAACTGGCATTTATCACTAACAGAGCAGGCCTAACGGCTTTCCTTTCTGCAAGGGTTCTTTTTTAAACCATGGCTTTTATCCCAGAGACTAAAAGGCCCAACACGGAAGCCTCCATATGCCAAAAACTTTAAGTGTTGCTACGGTGAACTTATAAATAATATCCAGGCACACCATTCGGGCCAATAAATTCCAATCAGGTCGACTTTGCTTCACCAGGGATGACAAATGGTTCCATATCGCAAAACACAGCCAAAACCTATTTATCTATGGGAATCCGGCTGAACTTTTAAGGAAGCCAGGAAGAGTCCCACAGTCCCTGAACGGAACGAGAACCTATAGCTTGGTGGGGAAGCGCATGCTCTTCACGCAGAAGGTGGCAAGTTTGAGCCCCAGTACTCCCAGCTGAAGAGATGTCAAAGGTTCCTAATGGAGACCACCACAAGATAGTGTCTGGCCATGTGGCCTGGTGGTTTCATTCTGTATTTGGCAGTCCCATATAAACAACACAGGGAAAACACAGGCAAAAAGACTGTTTTATCCAGGAAAATGTACATGCCATATCTTCAGAGACCCATGTGAGGCACCTCACAGGTAAATCCAACAGAATAAAATTATTTCCAGGCGGACGTGATCAATTTTATACTTCCCTCCTCCTCTCAAGATTGTTCTAACGAAACCACCTTTAAGGTGGCCAAATTGTGTGCCTCAGTATGCTCACAAGGAAGGAGCTGGTTTAGGAAATGCTTAGAGATTTGAGGGGTGGAGCCTGTGGAGGGCGGGGTTTGGGGAAGGGGAGGGACCTCAGCAGGGTATAATGCCATAGAGTCACTACCCAAAGGAGTCTCAGAGCGGCTTGCAAACTCCTTCCCCTTCCCCTCCCCACAACAGACACCCTGTGAGGCAGGTGGGGCTGAGAGAGCTCCTGACAGAAACTGCTCTTTCTCGAGGACAGCTCTTATCAGAACTACGGCTTGCCCAAGGTCATCAGGCCAGGTACAAGTGGAGGAGTGGGGAATCAAACCCGGTTCTCCCAGATTAGAGTCCGCGCACTTAACCACTACACCAAACTGGCTCACTTCCTCCTGCTCTGCAATACCAGAGCCACCTTTTGGCTGTAAATACATCTGCAGCTTGTGATCAGCAACCTCATACAGTCCTGTGACTTCCACTCCTGTGGCAAGGAAATGGCCCTGAGCCCATTTTACAGACAGACCGATGAGGCAAGCAAACAGGTAAGCGAGAAGCGAAGGGCGGAGCGTTGACATGGGCTTAGGGTTGCCAGCCTCCAGGTGGGGCCTGGGGATCTCCTGCTTTTACAACTGATCTCCAGCCGAAAGAGATCGGTTCTCCTGGAGAAAATGGCTGCTTTGAAGGGTGCATGGCGTTGTACCATGCTGAGGCCCCTCCCCTCCCTAAGCCCCGCCCTCTCCTGGATCCACCCCCAAAGTCTCCTGGTATTTCCCAACCCAGACCTGGCAACCCTGCATGGGCTGCTCTCTGGGCTTACAGAACAGGGAATGAAATTTCTCCAGATAAAGACTTGGAGCTTTTGAGGCTAGAGCTCCTGAGTGCGGGGCGGGGGTTACCTGCAGGTGGGTGCAGACTCTCCGCAGCACATCATACACACTGTCTCTTGAGATCAGGGACACAAAGATGTACTGGAAATGAAAAAAGAAAGCCAGGATTAAGTAACCACAGCCCAGGAAAGTCTTTGCGGGAAGGGACGAGCTGTCAACGGCTTCAACATTTCAGCATTCAGAGATGAATTTACTCTATTTATACCCCCCCCCTTCCTTCCCCAAAGAGGCTTACATAGTTCTCCTCTCCTCTCCTCCATTTTATCCTCACGACAACCCTGTGAGGTAGGTCAGGCTGACAGTATGTCACTGGCCCAAGGCCAACCAGCAAGCCTCCATGGCGGGGGGGGGGGGGGTTTGAACCTGGGTTTCCCAGACCCTAGTCGGACACTTTAACCACTACACCGTGCTGAAGTTCAGTGCCTCCCTCCCAATCACAGACCCTAGTCAGACACTTTAACCACTACACCGTGCTGAAGTTCAGTGCCTCCCTCCCAATCCGAAGACAAAGTTATAAAGAGCTGCTTGCTAAGTTGGCAGGCCTCTTCGGCCGGATTCATGACTGCAGAGGGGCCATGTTTTTGAAACAAGCCAATGAAAGAACCAACCACTGAATCACATGACAGAGTCAGAGTCCAGCCGACAGGAGCCTGTGGCATTCACACAGTCACTGCACACAGGGCATCCCAACCTATCGTGGACATGGTAACAAGGAAGTGGGTGCGAGAATCGGATTTCCCCGGCAAAAGATATCAGCCCTGTTCATTGTACATCAGGGCTTCCCAACCCTTTTCTGCCTGCAGGCACCTTTCGGATTCTGACACAGCTCAGTCGGCATAGTGGGGGAAACGGCTGCCACAACATGGCTGCTGCAGAAGGCGGAGCCAGCCACAAAATGGCTGCTGCCACACCTGACCTTCGGTCACTGTGCTGCTAAAGCAACATGTTTAAAAACCTGCACAGCCAATCAAATCTCCAGGGGCCACTCAGAAGCCTTGCTGTGCAAAAGCCCCACCTGGCCCCGCCCACTTTCCAGAAACATCTGGTGGGTGCCAGGGAAGGTGTCACCCACGGGCACCACGTTGGGGACCCCTGATGAACACCCTGCGTGCACGCGGATGTCTGTTTGCAAGAAAGAACCAGTGTGTGCTCCCTGGACAAATGAAACCGGGAACCAGTGCTTGGATGAATGTTAGGGTTGCCAGGTCCCTCAAAGACTTTGGGGGTGTTACTGGAGGGGGTGGGGGAGTCCCCAGTGTGATGACAACACTCAGAAGTGGCATCATCATGTTGGGGAGCGGAGGTTCCCGCCTCTCCCCAGCAGCATCGAAGAGTCTGTTTAAATCCTGCTGGGGAGAGGTGGGGGGGAAGCCGCGCATGCCCGCACGCCAGGACGAGCCCCGAATTTGGAGCCTGGAGTGCAAGCGTGCGGCCCCCGGCTCTCCCCAGCAGCGTCTAAAGGGTCTTTTTAAAACCTGCTGGGGAGAGGTCCTGATTTTTTTTTTAACTTCGCCCATTTCCACACTCGGGTTGGTTTTCATTGTCGCCGGCTGCCTCTGCCCTCTCCAGGGGCCCGCCGGCAGGAGCCAGAGGACGAGCCTATATGTGGCCTTGCTACTGGGAAGAGGGTGAGAACCATCCGTTATGGGGCCAACACTGCAGGGCTGGCATCCAGGGAGCTCTCGCTTGGGAAGACTCCTCCCCTGCCCAAAGCACAGCACTAACCCCCAAACGCTTTGACTTGGAGCAAAAGGCACAATCACTGGAGCCAGGCAGTCTTTCCAAGACAGATGTTCGCAGGCGCACACACCAAGCGTTGCCCACCCCCACGCACTCTGTGAGAGGTCAGTCCCCCCCCCCTGCTCAGCACAAGTCAGGCTGAGCACCGTCCTAGGTTCCACCCCCCCCCCAGCCATTTCCACCCCTCCCTTCTAGTAGGGTTCCCAAATGTGCCCGGGGGGTGGGGAACCCCCCGCTTCGGAGCCCCCGAGTTCCGCCCCGGAGGAATCCGGGCCCGGGGGAAACCCCACCCCCGAGGTTTATAAGATTATGCATGGGATAGAGCAGGTTGAGAATACCAAGAACTCCTTGTGGGCACTCCATGAAATTGCTGAGCAGTCGGGTTAGAACGGATAAAAGGAAGTCCTCCTTCACCCAAAGAGTGATGAACACATGTAATTCACTGCTATAAGAGTAGGCTGCCACAAGCATGGATGGCTTCAAGAGGGAATTAGATAAACACAGGGCTTTTTTGTAGAAAAAGCCCAGCAGGAACTCATTGGCATAATAGGCCACACCCAACAGCTGAAACGCATTAGCATATTAGGCCACACCCATAACAGTGCAGCTCATTACCATATTAGGTCACACCCCATGCCTTCCCTTGGCTTACCCAGGCCAGGGGAGGCACAAGGAGGCATTTAAATGCCTCTCGATCCTTCCAGGGTCGCCCCTGGCCCGCCCGCCTCAGAGTCACCGGGGGGGTCCCTCTTCAGGCCTTCCCTCTGTAGCCACGCATGCAGTGGTTTTGGCTGTAGTGGGCGTGGCCAACTCTGAAGCCAGCCAGAACGCCGTTCCTGTGCGTTCCTGCCCAAAAATAGCCCTGGGGGGGGGGGATCATAGGACGGGAGCCAAAAACCCCCAAATTCCCAGAGCTACCGTGCAACGAGTCTGAAAAACCACATTCCATCCCTCCTCTGCACGTCTAGGGTTTCCACCAGAGGCACTTCCTTCGTTTCTCGTTCCCAAGTTGCCGAGCAACCTTCAGGAAGATGCCAGTCTTCCTACCAGAGGGGGAATATTTTGCGAGATTTCCAGCTCCAGGGCTCCGCCCCCTTCCCAAGTCTTGTTCAGTTAAGGATGCCAAAATCACTCCCACAGTTGGCCACAAGGGAAAAAACAAATGGCCAGGTCTTTTATAAGGCAATCAAACAGAGTGTTCATGGATGATACAGTCCTGGCCAGTGTTCCCTCTAAGCTGAGATAGTGTGAGCTAGCTCACGGTTTTTTAGCCTCCAGCTCACACATTTTTGTCTTAGCTCAGGAAAGAAGGGCTCCGGAGCAAACTAATTTATGCAGCAGCCAAATCGCTCACCCGCAACGTTAATGCCCGTAGCTCACAAAGCAGAACTTTTGCTCACAGGGCTGCATAGCTTAGAGGGAGCATTGGTCCTGGCCACCCAGTTTCCAGTAAGAGCCCGTATATTGCGGTAGTTACAGCTTCAGACTAGAATACGGGACACCCAGGTTTGAAGAGCCATGACTGAGGCTGAGGCTGGCCCGGTCTTGTCAGATCTCGGAAGCTAGGAAGGGTTGGTTCCCGGTAGTACTTGGACAGGCGACAACCAAAGGAGTCTAGGGTCCCTATGCAGAGGCAGGCGATGGCAAACCCAGTCTGATAGTCTCTGCCCTGACTTAGATGGCTGAAGCTGGCCTGATCTCGTCAAATCTCAGGAGCTAAGCAGGGTCGGCCCTGGTTAGCACTTGGGTGGGAGACCACTGAGGAATTCCAGGGTTGCTACACAGAAGCAGGCAACGGCAAACTGCCTCTGAATGCCTCTTGCCTTGAAAACCTGATTGGGTCCTGATAAATTGGCTGAGACTTGCCACCACCCAGTTTGAATCCCCACCTTGCCATGGAAGCTGGCTGGGAGACTTTGGGCCAGTCACTCTCTCTCAGTCCAACCTGCCTCACAGGGTTGTTGTTGTAAGGCTCAAAGGGAAGTGAGGAGATCAACATTAGCTGTTCTGGGGTCCCCATTGGGGGGAAAAGCGGGCGTATTAAAAATACAGAAACAAAACAATAGAATGCCAAATAGTACCGAGAGGAGTCAAAAAGTAAAGATCCATTCACATTCTAGATATGTGAACAGGTTGCTCTGTCTCCAAGGGAGAACGTGAGGGCAGAACAACAGATTGGGAGAGCGGCCACAGAACAGCTGGTCACCTTTTCGAGAAATACAGGAACGAAAGGGCACTCGGCGGTATTGAGCAATGCGGCGGTCTTTAAACGCACTTGCCAAAAAAGGCCATTTTCAGTTTTGGTGATCGAGAAAACCCACTGCTGAAGGAAGCAGCAAATGCCAGGCATACGAAGAGATACCTTTGAAAGGGTCGATCAAACACAGAGTTGGAAGGGGCACTGCCTTCTGTTGGCTGTTAGCCAAGATGACGTATCAGGGACACACACCCTGCGCTGGTCTCAAAAACTTTCTCTCTGTTTGCAGCAATGCCCCTCTGAGAGCAAACGGGTGGGGAAGGCTCTCGTCAGGAGATGAAAACAAATGTGGCAGGCTCTGCCCTAACTAGGGTTGCCAACTCCAGGTTCGGAAATACCTGGAGATTTGAAGGTGGCGCCTGGGAGAGCGGGGTTTAGGGGAGGGGAGGGGCCCCGGTAGGGTATAATGCCACACAGCCCATTTTCCAAAGCAGCCCATTTCTCCAGGAGAAGCGGAATAATTGTTCTAAACAAATAAATAAGCAATGTATGTAGTTTGGAGATTAGTTGTTAGCAGGGCTCTTTTTGTAGAAAAAGCCCAGCAGGAACTCATTAGCATAACAGGCCACACCCAACAGCAGAGACTCATTAGCCTATTAGGTCACACCCCTGACAGCACAGCTCATTGGCATATTAGGCCGCACCCCCATGTTACCAGAAGTGTGGTCATCCAGCCACACCCACCTTTTGCTTCTTATTCTGTTTACCTTGTTTGTGGTCAAAACCCAGGGCCTTTTTTTTTGTAGCAGGAACTCCTTTGCATGTTAGGCCACACACCCCTAATGTAGCCAATCCTAATGAGTTTCTGATGTTGGGTGTGGCCTATTATGCTAATGAGTTCCTGCTGGGCGTGGCCAACTTGGGAGCCAGCCGGAACTCTGTTCCTGTGCGTTCCTGCCCAAAAATAGCCCTGGTTGTTAGCAGTGCTCCCTCTAAACTGTGGAGTCTTGTGAGCAAAAATTCTTCTTTGTGAGATACTGGCATTAAAGCTGTGAGTGAGTAATTTGGCTGCTGCATAAATTAGTTTGCTCTGGAGCCCTCCTTCTGGAGCTAGGAAAAAAATGTGTGAGCTGGAGGCTAACAAACTGTCAGCCAGCTCACACTAACTCAACTTAGAGGGAACACTGGTTGTTCGTCTGTGAGATCTCACGCCCCCACCTGGAGGTTGGCAACCCTAGCCCGAGGGCCACTCCCCACAATTTCCGTAGCTAAAGTACCACTGCCGCCCTGTTTTCAGCAGCAATCTTGCCCCCAAAACTTGGCGTTGCATGCCCCTTCGAACCACTCACTCTTAGCCTGTGGAGAACAGGCTGGGCGTGGGACTAAAAATCATGATGGGATACGATTAACTGGGACCACCAAGGACATTTTGAAGGGCTAAAAAGAAACAGGGAGATCTCAAAGGGTTGCTGCCTCCCGTAACACTGCTATCCCAAGCAGAGCAACACTCTTTGAACTCCACAGAAGTCAGTGGGCTGAGAAGGGTGTTAACTCTGCGAACGATGGCAGTGGTAGAATACCGAAAATTCAGTGAAAGGTTAGGGTTGGCAACTCCTGATGGGGACAGGGTTCCCCCCGATTTCGGGGACCCCAATCCGCTGCTGGCCAGAGGAGGGAGCCCCGCCCCCAAAGAGCTTCACTGCATCCTATGTGCCCGGCGCGGTAATGTCAAGCAGAGGTGACGTCATTGTGCCAGGCACATCGTGGTGACCATAGAGTTTTTAGCCAAATGCTAGTGTCCCCCGCATAACGTGCCCAGTGAGATGATGTCACTTCCAGGTAGAGATGTGAAGGCCCGGAAAGAAACCGGAAAAATTTGGGGAAAAACCCGTTTTTCCCCCCATTTTTTTCCTGAAGCCTTTTTGTTTTTTTCCGAAAAATTGGAAAAATTGAAAAAAGAAAAAAAAACTGATTATGGAATGTTTCATTTTAACATGATGAATAAAATATTTTAAGACAAGGTGTTCAAATATTTTCCAAATCATTTCTAATATATATATATATATGGTATCAGATTGATCTAATTTCTGTGCACCTAGGTTACAAACTGAACTCTCCAATGCAAGAACAAGATGCATTTCTTCCTTTGGGAGGTGCGATTGTCAGAAGAAAATAAAAAAGTTTCAGTTTTGTTTTTGCATGTGGGTGGGTATTCTGTTTGTGATAATTGTTTGGATACACTATATTTTTAATATGCTAGTTGTGATAATTTCATGCCAAGTAAAAATGTCCATAGTCATATTTTATGTTCCTAAAGTAACAGAATTACTTTCAATCTAGAAAAGACAAAAGAAATGGTAATGTAGCATTTTTTTCAATTTTTCTGAAAATCTCAGTTTTTCCCCCGAAAAAAAAACGGAAAAAACCGAGGTTTTTTCTGAGCTTCAAAATTTCCGGAAATTTTACATCTCTGCTTCCAGGTGATGTCACTGCGGCATGCGCACTTTGCACGTGTGCCAGAAGACCGTGGGACCAAGTCAGGAGCCCCCCGCCAGCAGACGGGTAAGACCTGGCAACCCTAGTGAAAGGGCAGGGGGTGGACTGTCATGTCAGACAACACAATGCACCTCCCCTGTTGCTCTGACATCTATTTACTCCACTTATACCCCACCGTTCTCCCTACGGAGACCCGAGGTGGCGTATGTCGTTCTCCTCTCCTTCCTTCTGTCCTCACAACAACCCAGTGAAGGTAGGTTAGGCTGAGAGCACGTGACTGGCCCAAAGTCACCCAGTCATCTTCCAAGGCAGAGGAGGGATTCGAACCTGGGCCTTCCAGATCCTAGTCTGGCACTCTAACCACTGCACCATACTGGCTCTCATGACCGAGAACAAAAAGAGGAATCGCCACATAACATATGCCTGGGAAAAGAGGCCCCCAGGAAGAACCCCACGCAAACAGAAGACTCGCAGATCCCTGACTGTGACTGTAAGAACAGCTGTTCTGACCCATTACCCGGTTTCTCAACA